CCACCCCGCCGCGCACCCCGGTCGAGAGCCGGTTCAACCCCCCGCCGCGACGCCGCCGGGGCGCAACAATATTTTTTTCACGTTCATAAACGCGGCCGGAACAGGTTCCGGCTCCGTCCGCAATATCGTAAAGAAACCCCAGGTCGCGAGGAGCAAACCGGAAACGCACCGTTGCTGTCGCCGGCGAAAAATCACCCCCCGGACGATGAGCTTTTTTCGCCGAGGGATGCTTTCGACTCGAGGGGCGTTGCCTCGTCGCTGTGAGGCTCGGTGGCGTGGCGTGCTTTGCGATACATTGATTGCTCTGCCATTTCAACCTATGGAGAAAGATCGATTAACAGGGTGTTCGCAATGAATAGGGTTGCCACAGTCAGGGAACACGGGGAAAACCGGGGAATGTCAGAGAATTTTAAAAAGTCAGGGAAAACATGAAAATATCAGGGAAAATAACGAAAGTGTCAAAAAAAAAATCGCTCATTTACCTCCATTAGCTCCAATTTTACCTGGCTTTATGGCATATTTTCAATTGTCAGTGAATTTTACTCAAATACGTCAGGGAAATCAGGGAAGTTTCAAAGAATTCCAATTTCTAAATTTTCAACCCTGAATGAACACCTGAATAATCGATTCTTTACCATAGCTTCAAATGGGGAAATATCGATTATCGATCGTTGACGCCTCAACACCGATACGGCTGAACCCTCCGCGCTCCCAGCCTGAGGTGGAACAAATTCAGACGTTATTTTCGTGGCACTTGTGGCTATTTTTCTTTCAATTTTTCAGAAAGTGTTCCTTGCAATTCAGTCATGGATACCGGAAAATTTCAAGGAAATGTAGTCGCAACTGCTCTCTATAATAACTATTTTACCGGAGGAAATTTTGCTATGTTAAATCGCTTATACGAGTTTCGTCCTGAAAACGACAGCGCGGGTGTCGTATGCACAGAGTGACAAGTCCTTTAAGAATGAGGGGAAATTTAGGGGATTCTGCCCAATTCTTGATTCCTTAGGGACCGGAATTCCGCTGCAGAAGCTTGAAATTCTCTCCGCAGAAATATTCAAATATGTGAAATATTTTCAATTTCAAGAGACTTTGTGCGGAAAATTTTTCTGAAATGTAGTATCATGAGAAATAATGCCCAAAATTCTTTGAAAAGTCATGGAATTCATGATAATATCAAAAGGTATGATTCCCAGCATCTCTTAGTGTTGGTAATTCTTCCAAATTAAATTTCGAATTCAACGTGTCCATGAAATACCGATAAACGAAAAGATGATAATTTTTGCCAAGAAATTCGGCGATTAAGGTGTCCTGTCTTGCTCGTTGCGTTTTATCCGCCTTAAATTTAATCAGTTCTTTTGTTCTTCTGTTTCAGGATCAGTGATTGAACCTTCAAAATCATTTTCCAACCTTATTATTACCCGCTCCCCTACAGTAAGTGGTCTCAACTTTTTATTTAATATTTTGTAATGTTATGTAAAGTTTTCTTCAAGAATGTAAGTTCTCAGAATGTCCAAGCCGAAACACTAAGTAATAGGAAAAAACTTCACTACCAACTTTCAGGAATTGTCAAAGGATTTTTTGCGAAAGGCTGAAGCCCTCCTACGTGTGTTTTATCATCGTATCCCGAAGTTTTCATTTTAATGAGAAATAATAATTTACTTTCGAAACAAAAAGAGAGCCTTCTGCGGAGTGGAATGCATATATTTAGATTTTTCTCTTTTTCGTGGGGTTATTTACAGGAATTATATCAACGACTTCCTGTCAGAGCTGAAGGATCTCAATAAGAACCGGAAAAGTCAGGATATTGGAATTTTGTGGAGGAAAATTAAGGGCGCGGAGGGAGTTTTTCGCGGAAAATCTTGATGAATCTGGAGATATTAACGGATAAATGATAAAAATGTTTCGCATCTCTCTTTTGTGCTCAAAAATTGCCGATGTTTCGTTGAGATATTATTATTTAATACATTTTGCCAGTTGATATACTGGATTTTCTACCTTTTTTTCCTCCATGAGTGAAAAGTTTCCGCTCAAACCGGAAGCCAGGCTAATCAGCGGGCTTTTATCGTCAAAAATATACCATTCATTAAGAAGTCTGTGTGATCAAGCGTGAGTGGGTCGAATTCTCAACGACCTCCCACTGTCACTTGGGTTCGGACCCAACATGCAACTATTTCAACTCCTGGGATGACCATTTGGCCTACTTGAAAAATTGAAGGCGCATCGCTCTTTAAGATCTCTCATAGCATTGGAGACTCGCGATTGAATGCGAGCGTGGCTATGTTTTAGTTCTTTGAATGGGCCTGTTGCATGCAAGAGATACAGCCGTGCGAATAGACTTTTCAGCGGTTAAATGACACGCAAATTACGATGGTCACATTAAAAAAGTCTGAAATACACTCCTTACTGCGCAATTTGCGTTGTTAGGAACGCGCTTTTTCAAATTTCCCGCGTCTGGGGGCAGTTTTCTAACTGAAACAATTAACGGCAACTCGCGGCTATTTCCGGTCAACTAAAACTGACAACATAACCTAAAAATCGGAGCCCGTGATATCGTGAAATGAAATGTAGGAGGATTGCGTTGGATATTTAAAAGTTGATCGATTTGGTTAGCGTATATGGACCACTATGAGATATCACGTTGGGTTTGTAAACAAACTGAAGGAAAAAATAACAACAACAACAATGACTCGGCATCTTCCGGAAATCACCGAGCCCGCCGTTTGCTCGTTTCCGGTAATTAGAAAACTGCCCCCGGACGCGGGAAATTTGAAAAAGCGCGTTCCTAACAACGCAAATTGCGCAGTAAGGAGTGTATTTCAGACTTTTTTAATGTGACCATCGTAATTTTCGTGTCATTTAACCTTTATAAAGTCTATTCGCGCGGCTGTATCTCTTGCATGCAACAGGCCCATTTGTATCTGAAATTACCAATATAAAATATATTAGTATCACGCCATCTTTTTCTAATACATGTAGGAATTGATGGAGCCGCGATTTTTTAACTCTGATATTCAAAACTGCGCACGTGGAATACATATTTGTTGAGTGAAGCTGTTGCTTTTTTTTCTGAAGCTCAGCTTCAATCAATCGGTTTTCCCACAACAGCGCATTCGAAATCAAATTTAAAGGATTTCATTTTTATGTCTCCTTTCACGAGAGACTGCGAAAAGCGGAGCTCCTTCAATTTTCCGGGTAGGCAACTTGATCGTCCTAGAGGTCGAAATAGTTGCGTCTTTTTAGCAAATGCCTTATCTCACAGTCAGCCTATGCTTGAACACTGAAGAGTAACTCTGGGTTCAAGGGCTACAACTACATTTTTATGTTGCCAAATCTCATCTCGAAATTTGCATTTGTACTGGGAGAGTCTTCGGAATATTTAAACGAAACTCTCACCCATCGCATTTCTGATCTCGTGCAAAAATCGGAAAAACTTCGGTCGATTCCCGGGGTAAATTCTCCCGGGAATTTGAACTCTACGGGTCAATTTTGCAACATTTGAACGAAGTTACGTTCCTTTGCAGTGCTTTGCGATATATCGAATGCTCTGCCATTTAAACTTATGGAAAAGGATCGATAAACAGGGTGTTTGCAACGAACGCCTTAATAATCGAATCCTTACCATAGCCTCAAATGGAGAAATATCGATAATCATTCACGCCTCGCCACTGGAGTGTTACTGTACACGATCCGGAGCCAAAATACGCTCCATGGGGTAGGTCAAGTAATTGCACTTCCTATGATTCATGGCAGTAGCGAGGCGTGCACGATCGATTATCGATGTTTCTCCATTTGAAGCTATAGTAAAGAATCGATTATTGAGGTGTATGTAGTAAATACCATGTCTATCGATCCTTTTCCGTAGGTTTAAATGGCAGATCAATCGATGGATCGCAATGCGCGGATTTACGGGCCGACCCCGAGTCCGACGACGTCGCTGCTCGCGACCGTTAAAAAAGAATAAAGTAAAAAAAAATCGGCCATTGTGTTTCCGACGATTTTATGTGGCTGGCGAGTGCCCGTAAACGCGTTTTACGAGTTTCCTCGTCATCCGGCAAGGCGCTCCGGTCGTCTCGCGAATTTTCCTCCGCCGGAGTCGAGGAAAAACCTCTCCCGCCAGCTTTCCCTCAGGATCCTTCTCTCCTGTTGCTTCGGATACTGACCCGTAGGGAATCGGGAACCCCGGATCTAGGAGTCTTGACTGTTGAAACGCTCGATGTTCCGCGCGTTTAAGATGGAATCATCTTCTCTTAAGTGTGTAAGGTGCCACCTTGTCCGGGATATTAGTTCTGAGTTTTTAGGGCGGTTCAGAAGTACTGAAAAAGTGCGGAAATTCCGTAAGAAGTTCCGGAATTTAAGTACTGATTTTTCAAGGGCGGTTCGAAAGTTTTGAAGAAGTACGGAAACTCCGCAGAAAGGTCCGGAATTTTTCCCTTCATACCACGCGTGTTTTTTAATAAAGCCTAGAAAGAATACAACCCCCTGCGCGTTGATTCAAGCCACCAATGCAATTTTGTGGCTGCGCCATTTTTGTCGCAATTCGAGCGAGAATTTCAAATTTTTGAGTTTTCGAATTTCCTCAAGTGGAGATACCGAAAAAGTACTGAATTTTTCTGTTGACAAAGTAGTGAACCTCTTGGGAACGTATTGAAAAAGTACCGCGTCCGGAATTTTTCTCGCTACCAGGATAGGTTCAGTTTGATGGTGTGACCCGAGCTTTGGGCCTGATCCGGCGGCGCGGTGAACTTAACGGAGTCAGTGGGTCGTTAAACTCCGGCGCTGAGCACCCCCCAAGTGGGGTATAAGGAGCCCGATCGGTTCGGCGGAAACGACGGGGGAGGGGGCGAGACTCGTGGAGGAGCGAGAGGGGTTGTCGTAGTCGTAAGAACTCTCCCCCGCGAATAATTGCCGCGTGCATTTAATTATGAATGCATTTAGCTGATTGCGTTCTATTGATTTTTCGACGCCTCCCGCGGTGTCGTGCCGTGTCGCGGGCGGCCGTGTAGCCGTCCTTGTTGCAGCCGGCGAGGTTTCCTTGGCGGATCTCGCGGGTCGCGAGATCCCCGGACGAACCCCTCTCGAGGGGCACCCGGTCGGAGTTCGGAGGGTTTCCGTCTCCGGGCAGGGTGTCTACAAGTCCGGAATTTCTGAAAAGTCTTGAAACAGTACTGGTTTTTTAAAGGCGGTCCGGAAGTACTGAAAAACGCAAGGAGGTCCTGAAATTCAGGGTGTCTAGCATCAGGAAAAACCGGAAAATATCAGGAATTTTGGCCGATCAGGAGAATCGGAGAATCGCACGTTTTATCAGGAATTTTTCTTACGCAAATCTCCTCAGCGGAGAAAGTCTTACTGCTATTTGCCTACCGTGCCAGGAGTCGAGGAAAATCAGGAAAATATCAGGAATTTTGTATAGAATATCAGAAAATGTCAGGATTTTTCAAAATTACTAAATACTAGACACCCTGTGAAAGTTTTTCATTCCTGAGCGAGAAATTCAATTGAAAAAATCAGGAATTTTGTATAGAATATCAGAAAATGTCAGGATTTTTCAAAATTACTAAATACTAGACACCCTGTGAAAGTTTTTCATTCCTGAGCGAGAAATTCAAATTTTGAAATTTTTCGAATTTCGTTAAATGGAGGTACTGAAAAAGCACCGCAATTTTTCTATTGAGGAGGTACTGAATTTCTTGGGAAAGTACTGATTTTTGGCCAGCCTGGAAAGAAAGCAATCTTCCTGTGCGTTGATCCTTAGAGTAGTATTTACCTGGTAGATCGTGATCGTACAGTCAGTTAATCTTGAAGCCATGAAGCCGCCAATGACATTTTGTGTTCACGTCATTCTTGCCGCAATCAAGCGGAATTTTTAATTTTCTCTAACGACAGTACTGAAAAGAGGCACTGAATTGTTTTTTTCAAGAAGGTGCCGAGTTTCTTGGGAATGCACTGAAAAAGTATTGTATGAGTACTAATTTTTGGCCAGCGTTTTTTCGTAGACACCCTTGTTCAGGTACAATTTTTGTCAGCGAAAAAATTTAGTTCGCGTCCAAGGGAATAAAATACTTGTAAGAGAAAGTAGAGAAAATCCAGAGAAGCAAATTAAGGAATGGGGAAAACGGGGATAAATCNGGGGGGGGGGGGGGGGGATCGAATCCGTTTTATCAGGTCAATCCGGCAAACGTCAGGAGAAAAAATTATTTCTCGGAAAACGGGGTAATGAGAGAATCGAAAGAACGAAATTGACTCGATAACCAGAAGAAATTAGATTTTACAAAAGTGGTGATTTACGTGTCATTTTGCATCGATTGAGTCTATCTCCAAGGAAAAATGGGCGGCGTATTCTGTCGTCCTGCAAATTACGTAATTTTCCTAAAATTGCTCGAAGAAAACTTGGGGATCTGAACTCGGAGAAAGTCAAGGAAACACTGGAAAAA